TTGGTTTGGTTTGGTTTGGTTTGGTTTGGTTTGGTTTGGTTTGGTTTTCCAAGACAGGGTTTCTCTGTGTAGCCTTGGCTGTCCTGGACTCGCTCTGTAGTCCAGGCTGGCCTTCAACTCATAGCAATCCACCTAACTCTGCCTTTGCCTCCCAGAGTACGAGGATTAAAGGCATGCACCACCAGACTTGGCTTAAAGTAGTTTTTATAAGGTAATTACCATTTACGAATCAACTCAGCAGCAAATTAACTCAATTCTTGAGTATAGCAAGAAGGATCAAATTACCCAGTAATCTGAAATCTTGCCACTCAATGAAGTTTATTTTAAAATAAACGCACCAGGAAGACATTTCACAAACACATAATAAAACAAGCCGTCCACTGTGCATTCAGTGAGGGTTTACCTAGCTTTTATGTGAAATACAAGCTATGCTTGCTTGATTCTATCAAGTTTACATAAAAATTAAAAGACCTTACTCAGACATTTTTATTTACAAAATTGAAAGCCATGAGCATAACACATTTTCACAGTAAAATGAAAAAATGTTTGATAATAGCAAGAGTATGAAAACTCAGCTAAACATATGTACACGACAATCACAGGACTTTCCCAGACAAGGTAATTTCCAGAACTCATGTGATCACCCGGACGGAGCCCAAGGGCTCTGTTTGTTCCTTAGCCTTCCCAGTGATGGCAAGTGAAGACCAACTGCCAGGGTTACATGGCAGATCATGCCCCGCTCCATAGGAGGCGGCCAGACATTCTGGGTCTACTTGACTTGGTTGTAGCATGATTTAGTGAAGTAAAGCCAGGGTCCTGGAAAGCTGAAGGATGCTTTAAAGCGTTGTTTAGATGACGCTCTCCTACAGCAGGAGAGCAAGAGCATGAGTTTCCAACAGGAATAAAGGCTCTGCAAAGCTACAGCTGAGAAAGTAAACAAATCACAAAGATGCTACATATCTGTCATTAATCACTCTATAGAAATCTTTTTGCTTTCAGCCTGAAGGGTGATAGGAAGGTGTCATTTTGCTTCACAGTGGCCTGTTCCCAGCTTGCAACAGGAGACTGTAGACTCCAGGCAATGAAAGTGGAACAGAGGCGTGATGTGGATGATTACTGGGAGCATCTCCTAAACGTACCACATGGATTAATGAGGTTCACAGCCAACAGTATTAAGATGAAAAAATAATTGGTAAGCTATGCCTCTCTCCGGGACAAGTGGACCATTTAAACAGCTCCCATCGAAATTCTAAAGCTGAAGACTGAAAAAATGCAGTTTTTGGCCTCGCAAGTATAGAGAAAAATCTGAGGCAAATAAATACAAGTAGAATAAATTTCCTACAGAAATGATGTTATGCTCTTCATGAAGGATACATGATAAAAAAGGGTAATAATACTCTACAATGCAAGCTATGAACTAGAAACACTTCCAGAACAAAAAATTCAACGCTCGATAATAAGCAGAAATTTCAGCAATGGAATGAATTTCAGAGACAACTGAGTCTTTGTTTAAAAATTATTAGAAATGATCAAAAGACCAAAAGTAACTACAAAAGTGAGTAAGAAATGTTACATCACTAATAGGAAGAGACACTGCTGCTCTCAGCTACTGCAAATGGACGCTAACTGCTCCTTCTGATAAGAAGGAATAAAAAAATAAATGAAGTTGGCTTTTTTTTTTTTTTTTAACCTTAAACATTTGCTCCTCCTGCCTCCGCATCCCCAGTTCTAGGATTTCAGGTCTGCAGCATGACACCTAGTTCATGTGGTGCTGGGGGAATCAAACCCAGAGCATGGTAGTCAAGCACACTACTCACTAAGCGAAGTCCCTGGCTCCTCTTTATGCTATCTACCCTGAGGAGAACTCTGAAATACTATCGACAGGAACATCCAAAGTTGAGAAGGCTGCCTGGAATAACTAACTAAATAAGCTAAATCTGTGTACAGCAACACTACATTTAAGTAGAGGGGGAAAAAAGAACACACGAAGATGTTTATCACAGAAAAGCTTACAGTGTTTGCAAAAAGTGATGTAAAACTCATTAACATCATCAGTCAAATAAATGCATGGAAAGAAACAGAGTATACTGGCCATAAAACGAATATTACAAGTGACTTTATGTAAGAAGATCTCAGAGAGGAGAAAGATGCATAGGTGAAAGAAGAAATCATTCTGAAAGGGAACTTTAAATGCTAACAAATGTGTTCATTATATGTGTTCAGATATATGCATAGGCCAAGTTTTCTATCTGGTTTATAGTTTTCAGTATCCAGATGTAATTAGATATTTTAGAACTTGTATTATATAATTATCTATCTATCTATCTATCTATCTATCTATCTATCTATATATATATATATATATATATATATTAAGAATCTAGAATTTATACAGTATCTTTTGTCTACTGGTTCTCCATGATTAATGTATATGTGTTTCTTAAAGGAGCAATAAGTCACTTCAAATAATGCCCCACTGGCACTATTTGGTCCCCTGCCCATCAGCATCCCTGAGTTAGCCTGCACTATAGTACACCTTCGCCAGGCCCTCCATACACATCACAGGCACACATTATACAGGGTAATTTCTGCAAGAGAACAAAGCATCGACGTTCAATTATATGAAAATAATACCAATTACCAATTACCAACCGACAAATACAACTCAGAATCTTCACTCCAGTGGGCAGCTTTTGTTGTTCCGAAGAAAATAACCAGCGCATGTATAAACATAATGCATTTGGGTGAGTCACAGTTTTTTTTTTAACAAGTTCACAGCATCCGTTTAAAGTCTTGGATGCCTGTAAATGTTCTTGGGTTGGCACTGGAGTACATCAGTCTTTCCTGATTAAAAAAATAATAATTTTTTTTCTGGCTTCAGAAAAATGGTAAGTGCATGTGTCGCAAAGGACGATACCAAAACAGCCCACACACCTGACCCACAGTTCTGACCCAAGGGCACTTTCTTCCTGACACATTCCCTCTGCATCTGGAGTACGAAGAAGATGCCAAAAGTATGTGTTAACTTGAGACTGTTACTCATCCCCGCCCAGTCAGATGTGAGGAGCTGGCTCCAGAGCAACCGCATTTCCAGGAACAGTTTGCAGAAAGCTATCCTGCTGCCTTCTGAGACTTTCTGAATAAGAAGGAATTATTCCAGAAATGCTGAGAAACAGTGTGAAGTTCAAAACACAAGGAAAACACCGTGAGGAACAGGCAGGGAAGGCACGTGAGTGGGTCTCTCCCGACCCCTGAGGCCTCCCCTTCCTCCAGAGAGCCGCATGGCCCCCCGGCAGACTTCAACAAACTTCATGAGGGAGTTCTTCTATTTCTGGTTATAGGTTACACACTTGGATTTATTTCTAGAACCTTCCTTCCCAACACACACAGTTTACGTGTTTGGGGTCTAATGATAACAAACCACACATTGGGTTAAGGCTGGAATCAGCCTGAGGACTTAAAAAACATGTCACAAAAAGAGACAAAAAGAGTCCACTAACAACAGTAACAATGGAGTCTGTTGTTTTAAAAATATTACTACTGGGCTGGGGAGATGGAGTAGTTAAGGGAGCTCCAGTGCTCTTGCAGAAGACCTGGGTTTAGTATCCCATGCCAGCATGGCAGCTAACAATTGTCTTTAACTCCAGTTCCCTCTTCTGCTCTCTGCAGGCACCAGGCATTCATACAGTGCACAGACAACATTCAGGCCAAACACTCATACACATAACACATAAAAATAAACACAGGTCTTAAAAAAAGTGCCTGTCACAGCGGCACACACCTGTGATTCCAGCACTAGGGGAGGCAGAGGGCCAGCCTGGTCTACAAAGTCCAGGACAGCCAAGGCTACACAGAGAAACCATCTCGAAAAACAAAACAATAAGTAAAAATAATAGTAATAGTAATAATAATAATAATGATGATGATAAAAATAAACGTTCTAGTAAGACTCAAAGTAAGATTTATCAGAGTCGAGGCCACCTCTAAAAATAGTCAACAGACCTACATTCTCTTGCTTCAGATTAAATTCTCCAAATTTCATTCCCGGTAAACAAAAAAGTCAGACAGCACATCTACCCAGTTCTGGTGAATTTCTGAAGAAAAAACACTTCTAAAACAATTGTTTCCACACTATCCCATAATTTTATTACTCCCTTGGCCCTCTGAGTTTCTGCTGCACGTTCTACAAGGAGGCAGACTAAATGACCTGTGACAACCAGGCTAGCTTGGGGCAGTATCCACCAAGGGGCAGGACGGCAGCCTATGTTAGGTTTGGAATCACACACTCCACTCTCTCCGTAATGAGGGCTCAAGAGTTCCCAGTTCCCCGCCACGCGTGTTCACTTTCATATCCTGACAGCTCACTATCCGGGGAGGTGTGCCTTGGCTGGCTGAATGGGAGGTCTA